CAGCGCCCGCGGTAGGCGTGATTACGCTTTAAGCGGCCGCACTCATACGCTACCGCGAGCGCTCCACCAGCATACTCGCGCTCTGATTGGTCAGTGTTTTTCGTTAATATCTCCTCAACGGAGCTTCGGACAACATTTTCGCTAAGGAAAAAGTTGCTTCAAATCACCTCCCGAACCACCCCGTTCAAGGTGTTACAACATTTTTGGGATACCCTGTATAAACAAGCGAAATGCCGAGCAAGAGCAAGAGCAAGAGCAAGAGCAAGAGCAAGAGCAAGAACAAGAATCGGGAGAAATACAGTCAATTTGTAACGTACGTGATTTCTGATTTGGAAAGAGTTTTCTGTATTCTTCGTGATAAGCTTATAATTACCTTATTAAGTAAAAAGTCGTACATACATCTTCTGCTACGAGATTGTCGCCACGCAGTCAAGTGAGACGCTTCTCCTTCTGGCTATCTCGGTATTTTTCCGTCCAGTTTCGTCGATTTTCAACTCCTCTATTTTGTATTTTAGGCGCAAGGCTAAGTCGGAATGCGTCACTTTGTATACATGAAGCCTAAACGTAATAGTGTAGAGTGAATGGGGCGTGAATGAAATGAAAGGACTGTAGGATGTGAGAATACATGTGAGCGACCCAATGCCCTAATGTTTAGCTAGAGATAAGAGGCGCGGACGGTTAGTCGAAAGACAATGGTGAGACGCAGTGTTGCCAACCGTAGCGAATTTTAGCGACGTGTGCGATGCAGAGGCAACAAGTATAAAATGTCAAAAATTCCACTCCATTTTGTGTTTACCCTCAAATATTGGGTCGAACATCCAAATTCACTTCTACGCTTCGGTGTATTTTTCGTGACGGGATGTATAAAGATTTTGTACTGAATGAAGAATATATAAAATACATTTTATTAACTAACCACCGACTTAAATATTTAATATTTCCATTACTATCTTCTTAATCTTAAATTAGAAATTTAAATAATTGTAGCAGTGCGTAGCAAGAATATTCAGAATATTGTTATGAACGGTGCGACTTTTGTAGTTCAGGAACTGGCAACATTGGTGAGACGAGCGGCAGTCGAACTGAAAGTGTCAACCGAAGAGCATCGTTTTAAAACCTCTTTTTATTCTTTTTGTTGTAATATTTAACAAAGGTTTTATTAAAATATTAAATGTAAGTTAAGGTACACAGTTAGAATATATACTTTTTAGTAAATGTATATTTCTTAAATACTAGAGGGACACTAGAGGAAGACTAACGTCTTATATTAATGCGCGCTGAATTTACAGGCGGCGCTGCAAGTGCAACTGTTGAAATATTCAAATATCCCAACACTTTTATTTCACTTAATTGTGTCTTTATTTACATCCTCTCATCCACATTAAAGAAAAGAATCCTACATGCACTCGTGAAACGAAGAGTCTACTTCCAATCATTATTTCTTAAATTTCTGAGGAACGGCCTAGTATCAAGGATACTTTTTATGAACAATACGCCCTTCAAATAGACATTGCTCGAAACATCCTGCACCATCGAGCGATTTCCGTGAGATCGCGTCTCGTGTTATCGGTAACTCGAATTTTTTACCTCTATTTCCCGAAACATGGTATCCACCGCAGCAAGTCCATACACATGCGGAAAGAGACATATACGGCAGTCAGTTTACATTGCAGAGAAACCGTAAACACGTTCCAGTCCATTTTAGAGGGTCGTACAAAAAACAGTCGATGTTAGAGTAACAACGATAAATCTACTTCGAAGTTGAATTCAACGTTGCTGGTAGATGGATCGAGGAGTAGACATTGAATGAACTCGGTAGACTGCTTCGCGTCGAATCTATCGTTAACGATTCCATTGGACAATCAATAATAAATGAACGATGCCAGTTTACCTTATTTCGAACACAATGCTTTAATTTTAAATCCTCCGTGCCAGTGGCTAGATGCAATCAAGAATATTGTTTTATTTTTCATACAAATTATATTTCATTATAAATATGTACACGGATAAACTTTACACTTGTATGTATTAATAATGAACAATTTATTTGAAAAATTCAAACCAATCATTTAATTTAGACAGATTTTTTTAAGAGACATGGGAGATACGGATGTGTTAAGCAATTGGAAAGCACTAAGTGTCTCCTTGTGGCGCCATTAGTTCGCGTGCTCGCCGTGGTCTTTAAGAATTCTATTTACTTCGTCGTATTTTCGCAATAGAAATAACAATTCAGAAAGAACGTTTACGCAAATCTTTACACTGGAACTCTTTATATACTGGTAGAAAATACACGTGATAAAATCAACGGGATGAAGTTTTATTTCCTGACTTCTTCGTGAAGTGTTACAACCGCATGTGGACGCATCGAATTTATTGTCAACCCACATAGCTCGACGATGCGGGGACGATGAATAACAGGACAATGGCGACGATGAATCGCACATTTACACGTATACGTGCGTATATACATATATATTCCATGACTTGCTTTTTTAACCCATGAGAGATGGCTGTGCATTTCGGGAACCCACACGACCGGCAAGGTTAGCAGATATCATTTTGTTGGAAACAGAAATTGGAACTGCTGTCGAAATATAAAAGGAAAGCGAGTATCGAGTGTCTCTAATAACGTTTGCAAGATGAAAAGCAATACGTCGCTGGCACTTAAAATTCGAGCATGGCGGACCAATACATCTCGGAGATCTTCGGTCGATTTTAAGGAAATCTAGCACGTCGACAAGGTTAATAAACTAATGGGATATTGTCAAAATAGCCTAATGAAACACAATCAAGCTTTACGTAGACTACGTAGACTTACGTCAAGATTACTTTCAAAGAAGCTACGTAAAGCGAAGCTACGGAAAGCGAGATTGCGTAAAGCGAGACAAAGGCGCTACTGTATCGAGTGGTGACCTAATTCCTACATTTCAATCAATCAGGAACTATATAACTATCAATAAAATAATTTTTTGGAAAAAATTTAGCCGAAAAAGGTGCAATGAAAAGTATGAAATAATTTCTAGTCAATTTATATGAATACGCACTAGCTCTAGATATAATTGCTTAAAAGTATGGGAAAATGCAGTGAAAAGTGTGAAATAATTTATATTTATACTCCATTGTTATTCACCATCGTTTGATGAATTTGGTTAAATTATTAAATACATCATATTAAATGCAATGCACCTTTTTCGGAGGCGGCGCATAATATAAACAATTTTTAATTCCGGTTTGGGTTAGCTTTTGGTAGAGGCCGAAATATTGAATGCTGTCAATGTATACATGTTTATTGTTTATGTGGAATTAATAGTTAATGTATATAATATGTACACGGAAATATAGTTTGAGTAGATTTGAGGCTTTTTTGGAGGGGAGGGGCGACAATATTGATTACTGCTAATGAATAAACTCTCCCCATGGAAATACTGTATGAATAGGTTTGGGATAGTATTTGGTGGGTGCGGTGATATTGAATAGTGTTAATGAATATGTCTAAAGCGGATATAGTAATAGCAATAATTAAAGATCATATTTTTTGTTCCTCGAACAGAAAGTTAAACCAAGTTTGATAATATTTAATTTTGGGGATAACTGTGCCGATTCTGAACTATGATTTCGTTTGCAAAAGTTTCGAATTGTGTCGAACTATTAACGAAAACGAAGCACTATCTGCAAAGGAACTTGTGGTTCAGAATTATCTCAGCTACCCCCTATTTCCGGTTCTTACACTAATTCAACGACACCCTGTATACTCTCCCCATGGAAATACTGTCTGAATAGGTTTGGGATAGTATTTGGTGGGGCGGCGATATTGAATAGTGTTAATGAATATGATGTCAAAGTGGATGTAATGATAGCAATAAATAAAGACCATATTTTTTGTTTCTCCGACAGAAAGTTAAACCAAGTTTAGCAATTTTTAATATACTTAATTCAAAATTTTGCGCCGCCTCCGAAAAAGATGCATTGCATTTAATGTGATGTATTTAATAATTTAATCAAATTCATCAAACGATGGTGAATAACAATGCAGTTTAAATAGAATTTATTTCACACTTTTCACTGATCTTCCCATACTTTTAAGCAATTATAACTAGAGCTAGTGCGTATTCATATAAATTGACTAGAAATTATTTCATACTTTTCACTGCACCTTTTTCGAAGTCCGTTAAATTTTTTTTCCAAACAATTATTTTATTTTACTCTTTTTAGTGGCAATCTATAACCAATAGGTTTCATGCAGTAACAATAGTTATAAACACTATATAGGATGACCCAAAAACGTTGGAAGTCCTTGAAAGAGGTGGTTCCGGGGCGAGTGAGGTGGTGATTTGAAACAATTTTTCCTTAGCGAAAATGGTGTTCGAGGCTTCGTTAAGGGGATATTCCAGAAACAGAAACTCACGACCAATCGGGCGCGAGTATGCCGGAGGAGCGACTGCGGAGCATACGCTACCGCAGGCGTCCACGGTATACTCACGCTTTGATTGGTCGGGAGTTTCCTGTTTATATCTCCTTAACGAAGCCTCGAACAACATTCTCGCCATGACAAAATTGTTTCAAATCACCACCTGAAACACCCCATTCAAGGACACCCAACATATTTGGGACTCCCTGTTGTTGCAAATGAGATTATCAGGAATGCTGGAAGGTTATACAAATATGGAATTAATCGGGATCGGAATAGGAATTAATTAATGAACCAAGAAAAAAATAAGAATATATCAATAACAATAGTTATAAACAATAGAAAAATTCATACATTTTTGGAAATGTGATTTCATCGATTTCAGGCCAACCATACGTGAAATAGTACGCTTTTTGCAATAAAAAGTGGTATAAAGTGTTAAAAAACAAAATAAGGACAAATGTTTTGTTATGGGACCAAATGGCAAATGCTCTTCCAGATGCAAAAAGTTTCATTCTGATTGGTCAAGCCATCTCGGCGTAATCTGCGAATATACATAATGAAAATTACGGTTTTTTTGACAAAAAAACAGGTAAAAAATGACAAATTGCAAAAAGTCGTGATAATGGGACCACCGGGGGGGGGGCATGCTCTACAAGATGCAACAGGATTCATTCCGATTGGTCAAGTCATCTCGGTGTAATCAGTGAATAGACATTAAAAAAAAAACATGTCGAATTGAGTAACCGCCTCATTTTCGAAGTCAGTTAAAAATGAAGTCAGACCTCTTAATTATTTATGAGCTTTCACAAACTTACCATATTTACACAGGTTCACACAGACTACTTAAAGTGATACTATACCACAAAACGCTATGCTAAAAGGAAGCTACGTAAAATGAGATTACGATCAAAAAAGCTACATAAAGCAAGACTACGTTCAAAGAAGCTACGTAAGGCGAGACTACACTCAAATTAGCTACGTAAAGCGAGACTACATTCAAAGAAGCTACGTAAAGCGAGAAGGCATAAAGCGAGGCAAAGATACTACTGTATTGGGTGGGGACCTAATTCCAAACAATTGTGAACTATATTTGAATTTTTACAACGTTTGCAATACGAAAAGCAATACGCCGTTGGTACTTCGATTTCGCGCACGGCGCGATTACAAGAAAATCTAACACGTCGATAATGTTAATAAACTAATAGAATATCCTAATCTACCTAAATCAAGCGTTGAAATTCGTGAAATATTAAAATGTTTACAACATTTGCAAGATGGAAAGCAATACGCCGCTGGCACTTTGAAATATCTTCTCCTATGTCACGCATGGCGGGCCAATACGTCTCGCGCACAAGTGTTTTCCTGTCCAAAGACCGGATTTGAATCGATCCTCAAAAACTTCCAAAAATAATAGGTGCCATTTCCCAAAATTGTGTTTGGAATAACGTTGGACCATTTAACTACGAGAATCTATTTGGCTAACAGTTTCGTGCTGAACTGTCATTTCCTGGTGGAATTCAGACCGCAATCATCCTTCGGGTGGAAAACACGTAGCAATAAAAACAAACATTCCGTCATCCCCTGGTTGAATCGTTTCGCCTTCGGTTAAAGGTGAGGAGGACAATAGATAAAAGAATCTGCGTTTCATTCTCCTTTCCCTGTTCACTCGCCACGGAGCCGTTTCTCCGCTGTTCCCTCTAGGTCTTCCGGGTGCAAAACAAAGTCTACGCTCGTAAAATATTATGTAGGATAAGGAGGTCTTGGCTCTGGGCCACAATCAATGACGATGCAGGAGTCTGGAAAGTTTATCCAGCTAAAGAGCTTAACGTAGCCACCGTTGTCCCAAACTTCAGCTTTATAAATAAACTTCGTCGCGATCTCCATTCCGTCATGTCCAGCTGGGGCATCCGATACACCTGTACACTTATTATCGATACCCGATATCTTAGTATTGCTTACAATCCTCTGAATTGGAAATCTTCAGCTTTGTTATTTGTACATTCTCCATGTGTCTCTATTTTGATGTAATATACAGTCAGTCCCGTAAGTATTCTAGTGAAAAAATCTATTGAAAAAATTTGTTTTAATTAAATAATAGCTTTGATGTCTTCAAATAAGTGTTTCGTTAAAAGTATGTACATAAATAAACTTTACACTCGCATATAAGTAGGTATATACAGAGAGTTCTAACGCTGGGGCTCCGAGGGGGTGCGGGGCGGGTTACCGCGCCCCAGGTGAAGAGTCAGTAATTAGTACCGACGGTAAAGTGGGAAACCAACGATCTCTTCTTCATTTTACCGACCACTGATAATTATCGATCGTCGGTAATAATTATCGACCGTTGGTTTCCTCCTCTACCGTCGGTAATAATTGCCGACCCCCCACCTGGCGGCCCCCCTCTCCTCCCCTCGGAGCCCCTACGTTGGAACTCTCTGTATATACCTATTCATATATTTATACAAATTTTTCAACAGACATAGAAGGTCCGAATAATTATAGAACTAATTGTAATTTATATTTTTATATACATAGATGGAGTATCAGCCATAATCACTGATTCTTCAGAGAAGGATTAATCTTCGCAATGAATACTATCCTTGATACGGCGGATAGATATTGAGTACTCTTTGTCAGTGGCACTTATTGTTAGAACCATTTGTGTTGCCATCGTTCAATAGAAACCACGACACGGTGGTGAGCACTGATTAATGAGACGCTAATGGACACTGCAGAATATTTATCCATTAGCCCAATTCCATCACAGCTTGTGCTATCACGGTGGAAGAATGCTCGCAACATCCGCGTGGTCTCAACGACGAACAGTGACATCTCAATAGCCGGATATTTATCGTAAATCGTCAGCGTTAATTTTTATCATCGTTTTAGACACATCAGCGCAGAGGATTTTATGTAATGTTTCAGAAGTATGTTCATACAAAATCATTAGGCATGAAATGAAATGTGGGCATCGTTATCCATCATTTGAGTGCGAATGTTGGCTCGGTGTTATTGTATAAATGCGCCACTGCGCCATTACCGTCATTTATTCGTGGCTCTACGATATTGCAACGTTTCCGTCGAGCAGTTTTCCACATAGCGCGCTGTAAACAGCAGTATGTTTAGTTAAAGAGTCGACTTGATTCATAGGAAAATATATTGTATACAATTGAATATGCATATTCGTTGATCTTAATTGAAACTGACGTGTACAGTTGCATCAAGCTCGATTGATAAGTCAGAGTCCTATGTTGGCAATCCAGAACGCTCTGTCGATAAATGCTTCGATCAGTCTCTACGTTATCGACTCTACGTTACCGACTCGTGCCGACAGAGTACTCTAGCTTATTAACGAAATATACTATTAAATCCTCTCTAATCGTCATTAGATAACATGCGCCAATACTTCAATATCTTCTATCTGGCAATAATTTTGCAGTTAATTTAATTAACTATAAACGGAGGACTTCTGCACAACACAAAAGTAAAAATATTACACAGCAACCACAGAAATACCTGACAAACGGATATGAAGCCACTGTGGCAATCATCCAGCGTATATTTATGAAATATTTTAGAACTGTGAGTGCTTCTGGTCGACTTTTTATTTAGCTTTTTACCTCTCCTGCAGAATTTAGTATATCACGCAAGTCCTGTTTTACAATTAACCATTCATTGGTATATTCCAACATGAATACTGAATACATGCCATCTAAAAGGGTGCGTGAAAAAGGCAATAAAATCGTTTTACATTTTCTATTGGGGAAATATGCCACGGTGTGAATGCTAGGTGAAATCGCTCTCGACTCGTATGACAAGTGGGCCGAGCCCCTGTCTGGCATTGTTTTGCGCTTTGCGTCGATGCCAGATTATAGCTGGTGCAGAAGAACTCTGTCATGTTCAGAGAGGAACGGCGTATATGGCGTCGTATTTCGCTTCAGGCCGTGCCGGCGTAAATCCAATTTTGGTCAGCTCGAAAAGTCCAGAAGTCGCGTTGTTTTTCCAACGACCGTCAACTGGTAACGAAACGCGCACTCTGCGTACGTTTTACTGTGCTGATGAGTGTTACGGACATTATTCTTATTTTAAAAAGTCGCGAGTCGGAAGGCAACGAACGATGTAACTACTTCCCACGATGCGGGTTTTATAAATAAATCAGAAGGAGAACGCGTTAGGTTTGTCTGTCAGTGTTTCTATAAACAATCTTATCTCTTAGAGATTGATGTTATCCTTTTCATGGTAATTAATTGAAAGATTTATCGACAGAGCGTTTTGAATTGCCAACATGGGACTCTGACTTATCAATAAAGTGTTCTACATTGCCAACAATCGAACTTGATGTAACTGAACACGTCGTCTAACTATCGTATAGTTGTTCACGCCATTTCGTACGACTTTAAGTATGGAATGTTCTACCTCGTTCTGCGGACTCCTGACGTATCGTCTCATGTGATTATTATTTATTCTTTTCATGGTAAAAGAATTAACCCCATAAATGGGACAATAATCCACTTGAAACGATATTTTGCTAACAAACTACTAAATTTTTGGAAACATGGCATTATGCTGCTTCCAGAGAAAGGAGAAGTAATAGAGCAAAATGGATCGTATGTAACTTCCTAATATAACATAAAATATTGTGTATGTATTACTTACTAATAAAATGAAAGAAACTTTTGGTACAACCTGATACTTAGCATTAGACTCTAGTGTTTAGTAAGGTAACTCGAAAAAGACTACTGCGTTAATGAAACGTAGTTCCCTTTCTCGCCACGAGAGGACAACCGACCACAATCTCTTTCTCGCAGGTGCTGGAAAAAAATCACATACAAAAAGTACAAGTCTAGAAATTCTTTGTACTCGTTAGATCCTGTATTGTTAACTGTTCTCACCCAAAAAAGTGTTCGTCAAACTCGCAATCTCCCCTCTTTAAACGGGAGCAACCCCATTTATCTCCCAATCCCCCAGTCTTCTTTCTCTTCGCGGCAGCTGTTTGAACGTGTATGTGCACATGCATGAGCGAACAACCGAATTACCTTTAGATCCTTTCTCCGCGTGTATGTTTTCATTTCATCTATTTGGGTTTCGTACACAGTCTGGTTCTTTGAGCCCGCCTCGCAAATTGCTGGCGCTTTTGGAACATTTGCCGAATAACAACGCATGATATCGAATCGAATGAAAATTGTTGCGTAAAATGCGTCGTTGATTCTCGATAGTGAATCAGGCCGGAGACAAAACTGAAAATTGGTCGAAGCCTCAAAGGCTTGTATAGTTTGCAATGGAACTGAAAATACTACGTTTGTTCACGTGGTAAAAGTAACTATTGAACAGAGCTAGAATAAATTCTGTAAAATTCGAATAAAATAATTTTTGGAAAAAGAATATAATCGTGTTTGAAAAATATTAATTCTCCACTAAAAGGTATGAAATAATTTCGGTAATTAATGTAGATATTAACTCCACTTGAGGGCAAACCAAATACATTAAACTCTCTCAAACAGTACTTCCACGTAGACAGTATAGAGGAATACATTAACGGCATTCAATATTAGCACCAAAAAAATTACTCAAACAGGAATTAAAAATTTTTTATTTTGCCCCGCCTCTGAAAAGGTTATTTAATATTATTTAATATAAAGGAAATAGAAATTATTTCATATTTTTGAGTGCAGAATTAATATTTTTCGAAGTCGGTTATATGTTTTTTCAAAAAATTACTTTATTTCACACT